GCATTAAGGTTTAATTAAGCCTTTAAGCTCTAATGAATTTCATATTTCTATGGATAACGCCACTTTAAACTAATTTCAGTTTTAATGGACGTTTGTGCAACTGTTTATAAAAAAAATATCACAATATCACCATTATTTTGGTTTTTATTTCTAAAATAATTACATTTATTAACTGACTGTGACATTATTCATTAAAGACCAGAAAAATAATCTTTTGCGTATCAAAAGCTTAAGTAGGACAATTTCAAGGTATGAAAACAGACAAACAGAGGAATATCTTTCATACATAAGTTGGTGTCATGATATTACTTCGAAGATCTCGATGGTTCAGAGGCTAGCGCGTTCAGTCTGCGATGCAGAGGTAGGTCAACTAAAAAAATAAAAAAGCTTTTGCTCCTCCGTGTTTAGGGGCAAGTTAAGCCATTGGTATTAGTTGCATCTAACCTGAGATTCTGTAAAAACCCAGACCCGAATACGAATTCACTTATGTCTCCGAATTCACATAATTCAGTGTAAAAATTTTATTGATTCCATTTTTTTGTATAAAAATACAAAACATAATTGATAGAATATACTTGTCACAGATATTTAATTCCTATGTCATCTCGAAACTCACTTCACTTTTGCCATGACTCGATATTAACAATTGAAGGTTGAGCCGATGCCGCTTTTGAAGTGAATACCTGAGGAAATTCGAATTTGGGTTTGGATTTTTACAGAATTGCAGGGCTGCACTGAGCTCTAGTGATTTATTATGGTTGAATTCCACTATTCGATTCGATAAATGGGGATAAATAAGAATGAAAATAATAATCTTATTGTTGATGTTTGCTTAACAATAGCTTCCAAAGTAATTTTACATTTTCAAGCTCAAATAATATCTACAGTTATCGAACTCAAACATGAGTGTTCTTTATAAAAATCATTAAGGTATTACTTACTTTTATCTACATAGCTAACGTGAACCTAAAGTGCGAAACAATAACTTCCCTGAATCACATTTCGTCCGAATTATAACATCTATCAATAACAGCTCAGGAGCCTCTTCCCCTCGTCTCTTCCCCTCTTTCATCTATCCTGCATTTGATGCTGACGGATGAAGCAGCTTTAGCGATATGAAGCCTGTTGAGTTCTGCTATATGTCTTGTCAATATCTGAGTATACTCTCTTTATGTTCATTGTTTTGATTTTACACATTAGTATGAGAGTATTTGCATTCACAATGCTATATACTGGAAATTATTTTCAATGCATAATGCTAAAACAGTGCTCTGGAATCGAACTACCAGGAATACCTGAAACTTGTGGATTTTTTAAGCATTTTCATTAAGAATATTTTATTCGTGAGCTTAAGTTTCGTCATTTTTTAAAAAAGTCACATTAAAAATCATTAACAAGTAAAATAACGTTACTTTCAGCTGTCCCAACATACGGACCTTTAAAAGTACACAACGGATTTTAATGCAGTTTTCATAATATACACTGGAAAATTTACTACACGTATACTAGGAGCGAATAATGAAATATTTTTTTTGATGATTTGTTCTATCTTGAAATGGACCTTTACTCGTAGTAACTTATTTACATCAAAGCAATGAAAAAATCTATTTCTCATATAATATTAATATCCATTATTGTTATTAAAAATTGATTATTTTTAAAATAGCTATTCATGTGATAGCTACGTATTTTAACGTTTCATATTTTTATCGAGTCCCATAACCCGGGTATAATTCTCGTAAATAACTGTTATTCTAATGTTAATAACTATGAAAGTTTAAGATAACGGATTGGTTAATACCTAAAGCACAACTTTATAATAAATCAAAACTTTTATTTATATTAACATTATTTATGAACGACTTTTACCATATCCAGCTTCTTCAGAAAAAATAACGTATAACGGATACTACCTACTGCAAAATCGCTACCGTATCTCAACAATGAGGTCTCAAGGGAAAAACTCTAAAATCTAGCGGCAGACTATTGAACCATAAATCCGTCAGCGGACCCGGTAGCGAAATCCTGTTATTTGCATACAAACTACAACAAAAACTTTTTGTTAAAATCTGCTTGAATCTTAACTCTTTGACTTGCCGATACAAAGAGTTATTGTGACGCTTCTGGCGACTTTGCAAAAAGTTTACTAGTGACTAATTTGCGATTTTTTTGCTTCCTTTGTTTGGCGACTCTTTCTCTTATCGTCGACGCATCCTTTAACGTTTCGAAAACAACATGTCATGAATGTGCAGTTTACGAATATTTGATTTATGACATTTTAAAATTTCTGACTAATTTGTAGGTAAAATGTAAAGAAGCTTCTTACGCACTTTAATGTCTGACAGTGAGGATCACTTCATAAAATAAAATTTTCGTCATCAACGACGCCATCTGAAAATAAAATATAGATTCGCATTTTACTAAGATCAGCTTCTTCAATTTGTTCAGTATCCTTCCTTTTATATTTGTTATATTCCAATAGCTTTCTAACATTCTTATATAAACAACATAGGCTTTATGAAAGTTACAAATCCTTAATTAAATGCTGGCATTTATGTTTCAAGAATACAAGCTAGTAAGCTGTCACAATCAGTTTGATTCTTCTTTGTTCCACAGCTTTGTACATTGAAGGCTCTTTCGAAATAAGAAAAAAGTATTATTGCGACTTGAAACAAAACACAATCAGCATCCAAAGTCGATGATAATACCGTGTTGTCCGGCGTCAGGCCCGTGTACGAAGATATTCGTTGCGTGCGGCCACACAATGAGCCGGCGACATTGATTGATGGCCGCGCATTCAACGAATACATTACGATTTTTGCTTTCATTTCGTTCGATACGAATGTCACAAGGTTATGATATCGAAGCGATGGTTACAGATGAACGGGCGTAGGCGTTTGCTGGTGCGAACTACGCAGATATTGTTGAGTGATTTCTTCTAGAGTCATAGATATTTCGTATTATTTGCTGAGTTTTTGGTATCATTTATAATTTATATCGAACATAATATTGAATATCTGAGCTGAGTTAGACGAATAAATAAATTAAAACAATTGCAAACTGTTATTATTTAATAAAAATGTGCTCATTTTTTTCGAATAATTGTTTAAAATAAGTAACTATTAAAACAAAACTGATCATTAATCAATTCTTATATAAGTAATCCATGTCTAGTCTAAATTGTTACAAAAATATGTTAATGTCTAAAAGCTGTGCTGTTTTGACTTACAAGTTAAAGATGAGAGATCTAACTACCTACTACAATAAAAAAGAATTTTCCTCAGTACAGTTAAGACATTTTTTAAGTTACGATAAAAATTAAATAGTCAGGTAGACGTTATATATAAGCTTTCGTTTCTTTTTTTTCTGCTTACTGTCGAGACAGTTTTTTATGTATGCGTTATGTATTTCAAATAACTATAACTATATGTTTGTATCGTAATGTAGACTTTGATTTGACATAAATAAATATCAAGGTATAAAATAAACACAGAAAGTTAAGTTATTACTATATTTATTGGTTTCGTATTCACATTTCTCCTATTTTAGTTACAAAACAATATCTTCCGATTAAAATAAAATTCCACATTTTGTACCTAACACTAAGTCATTGTCTACATCAAAAAATGTTTTGATTTCTTATTACCTTTTCAATTACCGTATTGTACAAATTATTTAAACAATCAAATCGAACAAACACATCATAATTTATTGACATATGTTAATTATACTCTTATAGTGCTATTAATAAACAAGGTTAAGCACCAGAGTAAATTTACGCTAAAATTACAATTTTAGTATTTGTCCAAATTCTACTAACTTCTAGGAGTAAATACTACTCCCATAGAATCTGATACTAGGTTAACCTTTGCTAAGTCTCTGTAGAATAATATGAATTTTGATTAATACTTAGTGCAGTTTCAGCGTACATTTACTCCGACGCTAAACCTTTTTAATTAATAACATTGTAAATAAATTGGAAAGTGAACATGGCAATCGGATATGCAATAATTACAATTATATTCAAAAAAATATATAAAAAGTTTTTAAATTAAAAAGTATATTGTTTCTGCAATATTTATAAATGTGGTTATTGCTGAAAATATTTAATTAAGACATTTATTGGCTTGGCAAGTAGTGTATCATTATAAAATAAGATTTACCTTAAAGTGTGTATTTGAGAAGGTACCCAAAAATATAGAACTTTTCTACAATATACATATTCGTCATTAGTCTTTGCCTTCAAGAATGCTTAATTCACTGAAAGATTGTAAAATAATAATGGCAAATAAAAAATGAAATGAAACAAAATTATTGATCTTTATTCTTTTCTTTCCAACCCTAAGTTTTGTATGGGCAAGCAGGCAGGCAATAATTTAATAGGTGAATTTCTAAATAATATATTTCGGGACAATTGAAAGTTTCCAACAGAAAAAATGCTCTATAATGAAGAAACATTGCTTATAGTTTTACGTTTGAAAAGAAAATATTAATTGCCATAATTTTAATATTCTTAGTAATTCAAGAATCATAGAACGCAAAGCTATAAAATCTAATAGGTTTAAAAGTGAACATACAAATTGATAGGAAATTCTATGGACATATTTTATCGATTAAATAATTAAAAAACACGAACACCTTTTAATAACAACAGTACTAAATTTCTTTTAAATTATAATTCTAAGTGAGATGATTATAAATATGTATATCCGTAATATAAACTCACGACAATGACTTAAACTAAAATGTACAAATCCAACACTCAGATGTTTAAGTCTACCCTAAAATAATAATAATATTAATCACACTTTTTGACATTGTAAATGTTTCCACTTAATTATCCAAACATCGAAATATGACTGGTTACACTAAAAATACTTACACAAGTTACAATAGGCTTACATTAAAACTTAAACATCACTTTATTACATCTTATCGACACAAAGGAATGGTTGTTACAGAAAGTCCGTTAGTGAAAATAATTCTTCTTTACACTTAGATTATAAGGCGGTGAGACCGTAGTCTGATTTTATGACTGGCTGGTTGGTTGGTAATCCTGTACCACAACCAGCGTTACCAACTGGAGAGCCATGTGCTGCGAGATTGGCAACCATAGCTGGATCCATGCCCGCGTGCATACCCATCATGTGAAGATGATGCGGCGTCATTGGATGACCAGCACTCATTTGATTCGCATGCGACATCGGACTAATTGCCGGATCGTGCGACAGATTCTGTTGACCGACACAATGCAAGTCATTCATTATATTGTCAGTAACGTTCTCTATACTGTCTGGCCTACCGTTGTTATTAGACTTCTTTTTGTCATTATTATTCGTATTCTTATTTGATCTACTCTTTGGTGTGGCTTTAGCCGTGGTCGTGGTTACTCCAGCCGGATTCGTTTTTCTCCTCACGTTTTTGGTGTTCGGGAGTTTGTTGTCTTTCTTCCACTTCATCCGTCTGTTTTGGAACCATATTTTTATTTGTCGCTCCGACAAGACTAGTGTGTGCGCTATCTCTATTCGTCTTCTTCTGGTTAGATACCGGTTGTAGTGGAACTCTTTCTCCAGCTCCAGTATCTGGTGTCTCGTGTACGCTGTACGCTGACGTTTCGGTTCCATCCCCGGCTGGAAGGAGCCGTTAGCTGTAAAAGAAATATTAATATTATTTAAAAAGAACAATGATTATTCCCATGAAACCAAGGGTTTCATAATCGTCTTTTTCAACGAATAAAGAATAAGACAACAGATGTGATTTTCACATAATTATGAGTGAATAAGGAATTTAATTTTATATTACGACTAGATTCTATTTTATAATATGATAATTTGCTTAATTGTATTCATTATTATACTCATGAAAAAAATATTAAAGATTACATACTACTATATTACAGTTTTTTTATTATATACATTATTTTCCACAGAAAAGACTATTAATTCACCATACATATCACCATGCCTACGCTATATATGATTTCATATCGGAAAATTGCTTGCGTGAGAGAATACTTCTGAATAATTTATACCTCGTGCGCTTAATTAATGTGCATAATAATTACACATGCACGTCCGTGAGCTTCCTTTTTGTTTTGATTAATTGAGTCTAGCAAATTAGATCGTTTTTCAAACAATATTACTTAAAGAGGAGACCCATCGATAAATGAGCGATGGTTTATACCAGGTGCTTGAGAGAATAGCTTAATTACAAGTAATTGATTGATGAGGCAATAAGAACCTTGTAATCTATAAGTTTTTGAGTTATTCATTTTATTGCTTGAACTTTTTCAGTTTTTTCAATTGGGTTTATATATTAATTTTAGTGTAATACAATATCGTTACCTTTAATGAAATGCTTTAGGTATATGTTAAATATTCTGAAATATCCAATATATGAGAAAGAAAAATACGCAATCAATCGAAATAAAAATGTAAACCTTCGTTTACTACATTCAACTATTAACCAAGAATCAGTTTCAACACATTGATAAAAAAAGATTCACTTTATTTTCATCATAACTGCATTTTAGAAAAGTCGAAATTAAGTCAATGCGATGATGACTTCATTTTATGATATACATTAACTTTTTTAATGACAGGTAAATAAATAAAGACAGTCGTTAAATAAATATCAATAATAAATACCTACATTCAAATAAATTGTTAGTTTCATCAATAAAAGAAACAAGACAAAATAAAGTTGTGAAAGTAACTGGGCTACAATAGCTTCATTCCCAACTACGGAATAAAGTTACTTGTAAAGAAAATTTGAAAGTAATTTCCTTTTCTGCTTTCCAAGGAAATTGCTTTTATACTAAAGTAATTTTGAAGAAGAGACATTCAAAAGGCATTATTGTGTGTCATTCTTCAATAAATATGTTATTGGTGTAGTCAATGTCACTTCAATTGATTGAACTTTGGACTTAATAATGTTGAATAATACGACCTTTAATTCTTTTTCATAGAAGTTTATTTACCGAATTAACACAACAATGAAAAAGTAGCCTTTTTGAGAAATTATATTTTCTTTAATATATACAACGTGTCCCAAAATTCAACGATAAGCGGGCGCCAAGAGGAACCCTTGCTCATGTGTACTTATGGAAAAATAAGAGAAAAATTGTATCTAATCTTTTTTATTATAAAATTAAATTCGAAAATCTTCGAAAATTTACACCTTTTATGATATTTTCAACTACCACGACCACAACTTCTCAATTATGTTCAATCTTTTTTTGGTATCGGATACCTAAGTAGCACTACTATTCGCTACAGCTCTTTCGAAAATTTTCGAATTTTATTTTATAATAAAAAAGATTAATAAGATATAATTTTTTTCTTATTTTTCCATAAGTACACATGAGCAGGTCTACCTCTTGGCGCCCGCTTATCGTTGAATTTTGGGACACGTTGTATATTTTTTATTTAAATTATCAAAGGTGTAAATCTAATATTTGAAAATATTATCAATATCAACTTTTGTAATTCTAAAACAATTCAAAATGTAATCCACAAACTCCTTTTAGATGAGTCAATTATATATAATTACTCGTTCTGGAACTTTCTAATTTTGACTTCCATCAAATGAGAAGCCTAAATATTTTCTAGAGGGTTTTTTCACTTTGCGATAAGACATCTAGAAACGTCGACAGAGCTAAAACAAAAAAAAAGGAAACGAATACCTACACTTCTATTTACAGCAGGCATGTTATCGAGTTCCGCCCACATTGGAGTTGGAGGGAGACAAGTATAGGGACGCCGTTGGGATTGTCAGGAATTTCTTTGAGAATCTCCGCGGCTGTGGCTGGTATGTGCGGTCGACGGAGATTTTCAGTGGTCACACTGACAACACCGCATTGATCCGGGTCCACTGTTTCTATACTTAACTATATAAGCCACTAGGGAGTTGGCCACCTAAACAGTCTAAGTACCTATCTTGAATAAGGAAGAACATTGTGTTTCTCATGAATTTTTATTCAGTTCAGGCCCTATTACGTATTTTCATCGATATAATTTGTATGAAAATACTTATTGAATGTTTAGATATAGTAATATTTAAATAGATGCACGCAACAGCGCGTCCTATCAATTTTTTCTATTCGATTTTAAACCTTAATATACGATATTTAGTCTAAAGTTAAATAACTATTGTGGATTATATTTTACCAACCGGGTTATACTGTAAAACTCAATTTTGATTACATCATTAACTTTATCATGCTCTGTCCTACTCTATGACGTTAAAAATATTTACGTAAACTTTAATAATATATTTAATTTAAGATTAGAGCCTGACATACTGTACCGTGCTGTTAATTGTACCAGTTTGGACTTAGCCACTGGATGCGAGTTTGAATCAAGTTAAAGATATCTTATGAGTATTTTTTAAATATAAGTAAGATCAAAAATAAAATCACAGGAGAGTAAATACAGCACCGCGAATCAAAAAATCATTAAATAATTATAATCCTTAATAATGAATTTATTCGAGTGAAGTTATATATATACCAAAATATACTTCCAAATGATTTTCACAATTCCTACGTCCTATATCCCAGATATTGCCAAGTGAGAAATGTATTACGTTACATAACAATTATACAATGTACAAATACATAACTCAGTCACTTGATTAATTAACTTTCGAGTACTCAGCGAGTTCAATCGCTTCGTGAATATTAATATAAAAGTGATCTTGAATAAAAATTAAAAAAAAATATCAGGTTTTCAAAAGTTAATCAAACTGCTACTAGCGCAAGTAACTCATTATAAGCGTTATCAAACTGCAAAACAAGTTAGACACTACTGCTACCAGTCCATGCTTCGTTAGCTATATCACATCATCGTTCGACGACAATCTGATTGAATTACCGACTACCTGACCAACGTGTGGTCTCATAACCGAACTGTTAATCTCGAGTCGATCTTGCGACGGATGGCGTATCCAACCCGCCGGGGTGGTCCATTACGTGCACACCGATTGGGATTACTATTGTAATATCAATGAAAAATGTCGTTTCAATGACAGGTGCCGATATGGAAACTCCTTTTTCGAGACAAGCGCGAATATGATGCTAGCAATATCATCGGCGATCGATCAAAATAACCGGTTCATTAGCGCTCTTGACCCAAAGAATGCGAATGGTGTTGCATCACGTGCCAATCAAAATATTTCCAGTAAACAACCTCCGTGACAACCGCGAGTTAATTTTGAATCTGCTTGTGTGCGATTGACGCGTCATTCACGGTAATTTCAATTGTACGAGCTGTCAACATTACAAGAATTATTACGGTGTCTAAAAGCCTTAACGATAATGACTCTATTAACGTGGAGACTGTATGAAAAATTACTTTAAATTACATTCTCAATTCGGTACTTATGTATTTAATAAATTTTAACTTACAACAGTTTTTAGAGAAATTCTCTTGTAGTAACTTGAATGATCATTCATTTCTGTACGCTTATAATTATTGATCCCCCCACCCTAGAACTTTGTTGTGTACAAACTAGAAGCCTCATTTCGGTGATTAAGCGGGTTGTTTTAGAATTATTGCAAATCGAAATTTATTAGTTTTATTTATATAATAATAAAGCTACTTTATTATAATAATTCAAATTAAGAAAAGAAGCTTATCAAAACAAGCTTTTGCTGGACCAGCGACCTTGAAATTAAACAAGCTCCTTTATAGTTAATTACGATCACCTTCCAGTCCCATTATCAGACTATGAATATAATCCCGAACCAAAATTATTATTAAGACCAATCAAACGAACGCAAACACTATGGTGTTGCTTCGTTTAATTGCAGAGGTTCGAAGGTTATCTTCCAGCTCCAATATCAGATCACTTTTATTCCACAGATCTTGTATAGACAAATTAAACGGGCCCAAAGTCAGCCAAGCTCCGTTATTTAATTATACAATATTCTCATGGTCTTCCAATCCCATCATCATCAAACTTTATTGTCTCCAACCACTTCTAATTTTGCATTATCATTCAAGTTAAATGTCTGTGCAATCTTTTTGCTCATTTGAAAACAACAAATCCACAAATATAGCTTGCAAGATTCAAATAAATTTTAACACATTAATAAAATTAAACTAAAATTTGTAATTATCACAATCGATAAAAATCAAACTATCCCAAATTAACTTCGTTTGATGACAGAAATCCTATGACTACAGCTGCATTTTATATTAGTACTTATTCAGCCAGTTGTACAAACGTCCATTGAATTCTTCATTAGTTTAAAACACATCACGAATACAAATTTGACATTTATTAGAACTTAAAGGCATCAGTAAACCTTAATGGACATTTGTGCAACAGACCATCTAAGTTGTATGTGTATGCAATATTTAAGTTCATTCGAAAATCTTGAAATGGGTCAAAATTAGCTTACAACATTTGACCCACACTACACGGCTAGTTAAAGTCTATACAGAACATTTAAAATAGAAGAGCAATTATATATAGTACACACGTACAGTAATCTTATTATCAAAATATATGATTGAATGAAAATAATCCAAACAAAAAAACAATGTTTTAAAGAGGCGTAAAGCCAAAAGACTGTCCCTGTCTTATACAATCACACCTTTTTTATTTAATTATTACATTTAATTACTATTAAAATTATTGTAT